TGCCAGAGGACGACATTCCCAGTGGCAGAGGGTGCCACAGGATGCTGAGCAGTGGGGCTGGGAGCCACAAAATTAATTCTGTGAGGCTGCACACATCTTTTGAGCAGAGATGTAGATCCCCCTGCTGCATTGATAAAAGCCCAGATTCCTAGGTAAATAGAGTGCATTAATATTTATTTWAAAAAGCTTGGAATCATGATTTAATATTGTGGAAAGGGCTATTCTTACATGGCGTTTGCAGAGCTTCTTCTAATACAATATTTTCTAACTTCAGACATGGTAACCCAGTAAGCTCCATTACCATGCTAATACTATATAAAAATGATCCTTTATTATAAATCATACAGCACACCAAAAAGGATATAAATAGAGCCCCAGTGCGGCATTGGCATGCCTCATATTTCTCCTGGTTCACATTAAATGAGCCACTAAATTACAGTGTCCTTCTTTATAATATCATCCTCCAAAGCTGAACATTTTGTGTGTTACACAGGGCTGCTGTAACAAGAGAAATTAGCATGGCTGGTTTAATTCAGCAAGTCTGCCATGCATGTTATAGGAAGAGTGTTACAACGAGCTGGAATGAGAAATTTCATTGTCCTTTCAAAAAATTCACCATTCCGAACATCTGGTTTGTGTGGGGTGTTGCTAAGGCCTGACTCACAGGCTCTCTGGAGGGGGGTTCAGCTGCTCCCTCAGCTCCAGCAGCACAGAGGTGAGGGCAAAGGAGAGGTCACCCCACCCCACTGTCCTTCTGCTGCTGCTCCTAGGGTGCATGGTCCTTGGACACCCTGCGGGGAGCCTCGGGAAGTTTGGTGGGCAGAGAGARGCACTAGCAGGGCAGAGGGGAAGATGCTGCAGGGGCCAGAGGAGCCATCTTCAGATCAGAGTCCTGCTTTTGGTCTGCTGCTGGTTCCCCTACTAACAGCATCGGAGTTATTGCTGATTTAAGTGAATCCAGGTGCAGGCTGATTCAGGTCCTTGCTGAGCGATGCTGGGCAATTTTTTTTACTTTTCAGCTTCTCACCTGCAGAAACAAGGAGGTATTTTGCCCACAGAATTGATGCCTGCTTGCTTGTAAAGCAGCCCAAGCTTCTCCCTGACAGCCAGTGCTACAGAAATGCAGGGGTTTATTGTTTGCATTGCAAAATAAAAATACAGTGTTCAGACTAGGGGGGAAGATGCAGCTTGACTGTCATCTCTAACGATGCTACCTGACCGCACCGTAGAATAAAACCCTCCTACAGTCCTAGGAGCTGCATATGCCTTCAGGGACACATAAAGTAATTCAGGTCAAAAATGTAGGTTGTTTTATTTAGCAGACAAAGAGCTGGGGAAAGCAAAGAAKGAGAGGGAAAGAGGCTGCTGCAAAAATAAACTCCATAAAGAGCTTTTCAGGATTTCCCCCCAAAATTTAAAGTGAAATGGAGATGTCTGAGTTTCAACGTTTCCTTGCTGGCCTTGCAAAGTCCCAGCTCATGCTGGCAGGGACCCAAGTCAGTTCCCTGSAGGGCAGACATCAGGATTAGCAATTGGAGTTCATGGCTGGATGCAAGGAAGGAAGGTCCCGGCATAAACGGGCTGCCAAACCCTCTCAGGGGCAGCAGCTGGACCAGGGGAATCCAGGAGGCCCAGGGTTGGTATAAGTGGTTGGTGAGAAGTGAACCCAAGTCAAAATCACCCAAATGTTCGTTATCTGCAGAGCTGGGACACTTTGAGGAAATTTTCAATCCAAATTGTCTGCGGAAAGGAAATGTRTCCCCTCACGTGTGCTGGGAGGCTGCAGGCCTTGCGGCCCAGGAAGATGCCTAGCAAAGCAAACTGTGCCGTGAATAATCAATGAAAACWAAAGGTTTCTATTACCTGTAGTGCTCCATGACCATATGAGATAATACAGAAATGTCAGGCAGCCTCCTGGAAGTGAAATAAAACCTCTAGAGTAMAGCCTTTGGCATCACATGCCCTCAGCAAAAATCCCAAAGCAAACTGGGGTTATGCAAGCTGTGAAATACCCAACCTCAGTGCTGAATTGAGGAAGCTGCCAGGATCACATCTTGCTGCTTCCAGAAATATCTRTCTACTCTTGGCAGGACAGGTTTTAAATCCTGAAGTTTAGTGTAGAGACCCCATCAGTGGGGAGGAAAAAGCAGCAAAGCTCAGCTGCAAGGCTGAGCCCTGAGTAAGGGGCAGTCCCAGGGCAGCTCTGTCCGCTCCTTCCACCCCTCCCAAAAAGCAGGAGCTGCCCAGTGGAGAGCACAGCCCTTGACCTGCGCCAGCTGCCACAAACGGGGATGCTCAAGCACCTTTCCAGTGTAGATCCACTTTGGCATGTCCATCCTTGGCTGGTGGCAGCTCAGCAGATGCACAGACATCTACATAAATGCACATTGACCAAAATATTGCTGCTGTCAGCAGAGTGCCAYGTTAAGGAGTGCTTGCAGGGCAAGGAAAGAAAAAGTGAGACTGATAGTGAAATCTTCAGCCCCTTCCATCTCTGTCCTCCTCAGCCTCTGGAGAAAGGYTCTCATAGAGAGTCATTAATTTCATGACTTTGGTTGTAAAATTGGTCTTGCTCAATATAGATGACATGCGAAGCAGCAATGGGCTCATGCGAGACAGGCTGAAATCTGATGTCTTTAGGTATTCCCAGGGCAGAACAGGGTATGACCTGCACAGCCTGGACCACAGTCCCCRCTCTCTTAAAGCCTGGAGGGTTTTGGTTGGCCCATGACAGTGACAAAGGAGGACACAGGAAAATCTGATGGTGTTTGGATCTTCAATACAAGCCCATTTCTGTAATTTAAGGAACATTTAATAATAAAAAAAAAAAAAAAGAAAAAAGACAAAGAGACGATGACGTATCATTTATCACAAGGAGACAGTGGTATGCTGCAATATCCATGGGTAAAGGTTACACTAAAGGATGGTGCTGTCATCATTAAGGTGGTGAACTAGCATCTCTTACAAGCCCAWTTTTTGTCTTTCCTCCTTAAAAATACTACATGCAAAAGTCGAAAGTTAGCTATAACACTGATAAAGGAGGTCTGGTCCCAAGGTGGAGTTTTTGGTCAGATTTAAAGTAAATCAAATATAACACCTTRAAAATAGCAGCCTTCAGCAAAGCCCAGAACCCTCCGTCATTTCTTTCTACTTTGCAACCAGAAAGACAACCAGGGTAGAGAGGAGGAGCAGAGAGAGAGAGATTAAAACAGCTTTAATTTTAGGACTTGTCTCATCAAGAGATAGTATGTGACACCAGAAATGAGTCCAATTAAAAGTGTTTGTAACATAAAGTTGCTTAATTAGCACCTTCAGAAGTTTCGCGATGTTTCCCCACTAACATCCTCTCTCCTGACATGCATGTGGCARCTGGTCCTGGAGGGGGAGGGTCAGGGCTGCTCTAGCCATATTCCAAATCTGGGTTTTAAGTCTTTTGGGGGCATATCAGCCTCCTAGCAATGCCTTGATGAYGAAGAGTCTTCAGAAGCTTCCAGAGGTTCTGGAGGGTGCCCCTTCCACTGTCTCTGAGATTGCAAGTGAACAAACGAGATGTGAGACCCAATTTACCCCATCAGCCCAGGCTAAGAAACTTGCCCTGCAAGAGCATGTGCTTCGCTCCTGGAACACTGTACTGGTGCTGCCTTTTTCTTTGAGCTGTGTTTCCCACCAGTGCTCCAGCGTTGACGACAGGCACAAGGCTGGCCTCAGCCTTTGTGTCCTRCATGCAGCCCCTGTGCCATGCTGGCCCATGTACGGGGGAAGAGAAGGAAACCTTCCCTCCATCCTCCCATCTGTACTGCACACTGGAGAGTTAATGAGCGATGCCTCACGAGCACTGCACATTCTGCTTCCTGCTAGGAAACTCAACCCCATATGGGTCCCCTCCCAGAGCCACTCCCTGTACCAGTGCTGGAGATGGTCCCACAGACACAGACTGGGGATGGTCAGGGGAGCTAACCTTGCCCAGCCTCTGTGTTTTGGTTGCCATGGCAATWTGCTCATCCCTGTTGGAGTTGTTTGGGGAGCACAGTGGTTCAGGGAAACAAGGAGAAATGTGAGGACATGRCACTCTGTGATAGTCACAAGGTGGGAGCCTGACTCAGCCAGGAGGTGAAGCAGTTTTCCTTTGGCTCTGTCCCTGTCAGAGCCACAGCCAGTCAGCCACAGCATGGCTTTGGTGGCAGGTTATCATGGTCCAGCAGGGTCTGTCAGCTGCTGCAGGGCAGAAGCACCATTGTTGGGACCTTGCACAGAAAGGTGACTGCAAACAGCAATCCATTTTAAAATGTTCTTTTTTCCCCAAATCTTTCACAGATGGAGGAGGCATGGAACTTAAGTGAGGGCATTTCACAGCACACATGAGATTTCCTCTGGCCTGAAAGAGTAGTACTAAGTGAATTTCAAAGAACTGTGGAATGGTTTGGGCTGGAAGAGACCTTAAAGAACATTTAATTCCAGCCCTCCTGCAACGAATACGGACACCTTCAATTAAGCCAGGTTACTCAAAGCCCCATTCAGCCTGGCCTTAAAGGCTTCCAAGGATGGGGCATCCACAGCTTCTCTGGCAGCCTGTTCCAGTTCCTCATTACCCTCACAATAAAGAATTCCTTCCTAATATCCAATCTAACCCTGCCCTCTTTCAGTTTAAAATATGTCCTATCAYGACATCCTTGTGAAAAGTCCCAATCAAGCTCTCCTGTTGCCTCCCTTCAAGTACTGGAAGTCTGGAAGATTCCCCCAGAGCCTTCRCAGAGTCTTGACTCTTCCTTGACCATAATCCCTAGCCCTTTTGTGGAGTTCACACAGAACATCATTTTTGTTCACATTGATTTGCCAACAACACAAAATTTGCAGGCATACAGTCTGAACCAACACCTCACCTTGCTGACTGAACATCCATCTCTAAGGGGATGGAAAGTATATAAAAGATGCCCATGCTGGATTAAACAGAACACCTCACCTATYAGTCTCTTTCTTGGTCCCTGTATATACATTGTCATGCATATAAGCTAGTGTTCTGAGGTACTAAAAATAATAATAATTTTCTTATTCATTATAAATTTCTGTTTGTAGTCTATACCTGTAAGAGATACAGCCATTAGACATCACAGGTTCCACGTTACAGGCAATCTCAAAAGGGGAGTCAACATGATTTTTCCAGGAGCTCACCTCACTGTAACAACAGTAATCCTGAATTTTACACAGTGCCTTTGATCCAGACTGCCAAAGCACTTCRTTCTCTGATGGAAAAATCACATACAAGTTAGGATTCCATTTGCCCATCACTGGCATGTATTGGGAGGGTCAGTCTTCAACAATATTCAGCAACTCAAACTATAGCTTATACTAGAAAAAACAAAGAGAAATTTTCAGTTTGGATAAGGAAATGTAGGATCATCTTAGAGAGGATTTTGCTAAAATAAATGGTCCTGATGTGAAGTTCAAGGCTCGCCTTGGAAATCACCTCTGTGATGATGTTGACCAGGGATAGTGAAGGGTTATGCTAGCTTCTGAAAACCAAGCCCGGGACTGTTCTGTAACATTTTCCCTACTCAGACATTAGTGAAACATTAGCACAGTCTTGGTTCAGGGCAGGGACATTAAGCAGGAAAGCTTGAGGGACAGGCACAAGCTGGTTCCTCAGTAGAAAGCCAGCCTCACATCATCAGTAAATCACAGAAGAGAGGCTAGACACTCTCGCCTTCCTGATGATCACATCATGACCAAGACAGTTTCTTTGATGGGTCCTTCTGAAATATAAATTATCTTAATGACTTCTGATCWTGGGAAACAAGACACAGTAGGGTATTTTGACTGACACAGTCACAGAGGGTAAGGGCTCTATCACTCTTAACAAGTAGAGCAGCACAARAGCAGTGCTGGTGTGCTCAGTCCCTTTTACCTCTGACTGAGCAGCCACAGGTTGGAACACCTCAGGTGCTCACTTGCATCTCCTCTGCCAGCACAAGAAGTGTCACCCAAGAGGAGCCCAGCTCGCATTCTACAATCCCCTTTCACAGTATGAATCATCAAACCRCAGTTATGCGGCCTGACCAGGAGATGTGTTTCTTTCATCCCAACTAAAATGCTGGGGAGAGGCAATTTATGCATCCAGCTCTTGCCTCCCTGGCCCCAGCTTCACTTGTACTGTTCCTGAAGCCAGGTTCCTACATGGACCACCCTTCCCTGGCTGCAAGGTTGAAGTCTTCACAGTCAGCAAGGGAGCAGAGCAGCGGTGTCCACTCTTGGAAAAGGAGAACAAACACACCAGGCCAGACTCATTGCAGCAAATTGGAGCAAGTGAAGCAAGGTCTCCCTCAGCCATACACCACTGTGGATGTGGATCCCGGTTCTGCACCAGGGCAGACTCCTACAGCACACACAGCACCCAGCACTGTTGTGACAGTGGCTTTCCTGAAGCATTTGGCCATAAGCCTCTGTAAACACCCTGGACTTAGGGTTTAAACCAGTCAAGCTGCATTGAAAAAAGCCCTTTGCTGAAAGATTCAAGAGATTACCAGTCTGCAGGGTAAACAATAGCTTCTATTTTGCTGCAAACTGATGTTCTTTTCTGGAAGTGGTTAACTCCAAAATGATGCAAACACTATTGTTAGCCCCTTTGACTCTCCCTGCTGACAATCTTATCATTCAGCTAAAATCCTTCTCCCACAAACCCACACTGCCTCTCAAAGAGCCAAGAGTGCTTGTTATGCCCTTCCCAGCTGCCAAAACYCTCCAGCTGCCTTATAATTACCCCTGTAATGTGCTTCTGCATGCCCAGTACATAGATCTGCAGCACACTAAAATTTAAGGACAACATAAAATAAAGAAACGACAAATTAAGCAGCATAAGGGGGGCTGGAGCAACGACATTAATTTTTCTGTTTAATTCACTGATAACAACTAGTTTTGATCCAATACTGCTGTGCAATAAAGTGTCACACTTGAGCACAGCTGAATGTCAGGGATTCATTGCTTAAGGTCAGAAGAGACCATTATGATCGTCAATTGTAACATATTGCATAACAGATCCAGGGTACCACCCCAGTCATTTCTGAGGCTTGCCCTCAACTTCTTTCAGATTTGCAGATGCATCTGTTAGAATGTCACCCAGTCTTGGCTTAAAGACTGAAAGGTCTGGAGAGTTAATYAGGTTGTTAGAAAAGCCTTTTTTTCTCTTTTGTTAGCTACCTTCATACAATATTTAGACACCTTTTTTCTCCTCYACATCTGTTTTGCCTTTGCTTCTAGCCCCCGGATTGTACATTTGTCCTAAATGGAAGTCCCCATGCAGAGATCTCTTTCCCACTGCAGCRCTGTCATCATGTTGCCTTATAATTTCTAAATTAGATGAAGTAGATTGGTCCCCTGTAGTTTCCCATCACAGGGAATGCTTTGTGGCCCTTGTACATTCAATGTGCTTTCATTTAGCCAAGCTCACCTTGCAGTGTAAGGGTCTTTGCATGGAGCCCTGTTCTCCCTCAAAAATCATCAGAGTAKACAGCTCGTGCCCTTGGTACTTCATTGCCCTTGGCAATGGTGTGCTCTTGTACCATCTAAAAGGAGAAGAAATGTCCATGTCACTCAGAGGTCTTGACTATCCTCTAATTATTTTCCCCCAGCTCTTCTGGTGGGTGAATCAGGGTGGCTAGGTGAATGGGGACAACACCTTGCTGGAAGGGGATACAAGAAGGCACTTTGCATGAGCAKGTCACAGCTCCTGCTCACCTCTGGCTATTACTAATAGGCAGTGTGAGCCTTGAACTYCTTCCTACCCTTCTCCCTCCCAGCATGCAGGGCCACCTGCCTGCCTGAATCATGCTGGCTTTTGCCAGTTGCTCAAAATAYTTCCCCTTCCACATGACTGTACAAAAGCAGGCTGGATGCGTGTAGCTTCTAGTGTATCTARCAATACATCAGGAACAGGATCTTTGCACATATTTATTTATTTTTGGCACATCTGATCCTAGTGCCATGCACAGTGAGGAGTGGGTGAACAAATGTGCAGAGATGGTAATTAACTGCAGAACAAAATTCGAAAGCAGCAGCTGGAGGATGGCCCTAGGGGCTGGTTGGTCAGGCAACTCAGAGGGGTTTCCTGCCTGTTCACCCAACCCTGCTTGTAATGCCTTGTGGTTTCCAGGGCTATTTTATCAAACCTCAAAATGCAGAATGAGCCCCATGGATACAGTGGGAAATGAGTCTCCACCCTTGGAGTCCCATGGATAAACACCAAGGGGCAGGCAGGTAGATATTGCTGATTCAGCAACCCTTTCTATGTTGTGCTCATTCTGCTACAGGACATCATTAGAAGAGGCTGAGATATTTTGTTTTCATAGCTTTTTAACCTTTTCCTTCCCAAAACAGTGTTTGTATTTATTTTGGCACCTTGAATGTTTTGAAGAGAGGATGAATTTGAATTTGCTTAAGCAGTTTTCCCCCTTAATCCCATTAAGTCGGTCTCTAATTCTTTCCAGGGCTCCCTTCTGTGGAGCTATTTCCTCTTGGAATAATTTACTTTCTGTGGATTGGGGGAATTAATGAGGCAGATGCTGSTTTCATTCTCATCACTGTAAGCCCAAAACAACTTCAGCAGTTTGCTGGCACRGATCCAGATTTTACTGGTGTAAATGAGGTCAGAATTTGGCTCACTGTGCTTACTTGTKCTAAGAGATAAGGAGGTTACCGAAAACAAGAAGTCTTGTGCAGGTTGGGAAAGTCCAGTTGGAAGTGGGTGAAGTTCATCCTTTCATTGAAAGTCTGAGTTTCTGCATTTCCCCACTGAGAGGTTGTGCTTAGCACCGCAGATATTCTGGCAACACAGACCACCAGTAAGCAACCACTCAGGGAAATAAGTCCAGGGACAAAGACTTTCAGGAATGCTGGAATTGTCTGCAGGAGCAAATCACAACAGCACAAACCTAAGTCACACTGATGCAAAATTGRAAGTTATGAAATAAAGAGAAAGAATAACTGGCCATGTCAGTCAGTCTTCAGGGGCCTCACAGTGAAGGAGGAAGCAAACAGCAAAACCAAGATATGTGCAGATGGCTCAGGGCTGACATCAGAGGTCAGCACATGCTATGATGGATAAAATTGAGAAAGACAAAGGAGATGTAACAAGCACAGGACAGGAAGGTGAGCAGGGAAGCATTCTGGCTATAGCTTGGTGGTCAGAGGAAGGCTGGGGAAAGCATCGGCTTTGCAGCAGTACCCCACACAAGGGTCAGCCCAGGCTGGGACCCTCTGTGAACCCTCAGGAGCAGCGCGGGGGAGTGGGGCTCCTCACAGAGCAGCACCCTGCCTGGCTGCAAAAAGGGGAAACAAGAGGAGTGAGGCAGCTACGGCCAGTCAGCTCTATTTCGGTTCCTGGAAATGCACTGGAACAAATAATTAAACAAATTAATCATCAGCACCTAGGAAACAAGCAGGAGAAGAGGAACAGCCCGTGCTGATTTGCCAGGAGCAAATCAWGTCAAATCAGCCTAATTTAATCCTGCAACAGTTCTTGTGGATAGAGACAAAGCAGGACACTTCTTGTATCTTGACCTTGGTACATCTCTGGTACCATCTCACTTTGTGTTACAAGAGGAAACATGCTCTAGAGAAATTACATTAAGTAAGGAGTGCAAAACAGGTTAGAATAACGTGTTCAGAAAGAAAGTGTCTTAGTAAAAATACAAGAAAGGGGGAGTAGGGTTCAACAGAGGTCCTGCCACTGGATTCTGAGATAGTGGGCATCTTTATCAGATATGCAGATGACACCAAGCTGACAGGACCCACAAAGACCTGAAAGAACATTATAATAAAAAATCATCCTGACATGATTTTCAGAGAAAAGGTCTGAAAAAAAGGATGTAATTCTCTAARGAGAGAAGCAAAGTTGTGCACAGAGGTAGGTACAGTCAGCTACACAGGGACARAACGAGAGACAGATGATTAGGCAGGTGTGGAGCAGTGCAGCAAGGCAGGAACCTGAAATGAATAAAAAGTGCCATTTATCATACACAAGGCAGTCACTGTATCAGCACACCCAGAGATGAGCTCTGCCTGTAAAATACACGGCTTTGCCCTTTGTTTTACCCAGTGCTGCTACAAACCTTGTTCACCTCAGCAAAGTCTGGAAGGAAGAGGGGTGAAAGGTCTAGAAAAGAGGAACTGGGAAGAAACACTTACTCAGTCGAGAGWTCTCTATATGCATTGTGAGTGTGGTAAGAAACAACATGCCTGAATTGCAGCAAGAGAGGTTAAACTTAGATGCTTGGCAAAGGGGAAGGCTGATGAACACTAAACTCACCTGCAAAACCTTTATCCTTGCCAGTGTTTAAAAGCAGACTGGAAACTTCTGGAATATTTCTGAAARCAGCCTCTTGAGGTCCTTTCTATCCAATTTTGTGATGAATGCTGTTAAATGAATATAAATTACCTCACACGGAGACACTGACGTTCAGGCTTGGTGATGAATAGTGATCAACGACAGAACTGTCAGCTTGCGTGGAGGCATCCAGTAGGGTTATTACTAGAAACTGGTGYTAACTCCAGTTTTATTTACCATCTTCATTAATGATCTAGAAAAAAAGCATTAGACAGTGTGTTTATTAAAACTGCAACAGATACTACAGTGGGGAGGARATGCAATCACCAGCCAGAAGTGGAAAATAATACAAAAGAACAAAAAAGGATATGTGACATGGGGAGAAAATGACCTAGCTCAAAGGACACAGAATACTATATCTAGGAAAGAAAYAGTCAAAAATTAAGACAGTCTGGGAGGAGACCTAAATGTATTGAAATGCTTTGCAGGGTTTGCATACAGGAAATTGAACAGGAGTTTACAATTTGTCACGTCAACAGAAAAAGTCTCAGTGTGGCTTTGGGCTGCATGACATACCCCAGGACAGAGAGATAAGCAACTGTCTGAGCACTGTTGTGCAAGCTTTCCTTCTGGATGCCTCCTGACCAGCATGGCTGCTAGGCTGGAGGACGAGCTGGGAAAACTAGCAAAAATAATGAAAAGCTGAGAAGTCTGGYTTGTGGAGAAAGAATTATATAGGTGATCTGTGGCAATGTAAMGCAAGGTTTACGCTTCTCAGGTATAGATAAGTGTGTCAGGAGAGGTGCCCTTTTACCAGGCATAATAATGACAGAAGAATTGGGCATTGCATTGTTATGAGATATGTTATACTGGCACTGCACAATTTCGGTTTGCCACAAAGTGATTACAAAGTGATACAATAACCTCCTGGGCCTCATCCAYCGCTGCCAGGGTCCGGGCGAGCACCGAGCTGGGCTAGAGCTGAGCCATCATCCCAACACCTGCCTCGGGAGGCAGGACCTGAAGAGGAGACTCCTGGGAAGGGCCGTTGCTGCCAGTCAAGTGAAAAGAAAAGGTTAAAATGTCCACTTTGTGTGACCAGAGCCACGCTGACATTCATTGATAAGGGAGTTGCATAAGCAAATCAACACAATGAGCCATGCTGATTGGAGGAAGAGAAATCTGTGCTGCTCAGGGGGACAAATCAATAGAGAAAGAGATGCTATTTTCAGGCTTCTAGAGAGGTATTACTAGCAAAAAGAAAGCACAGATATAAAATTGTACTTGGCAGGGTCCTTTAGAGAGAAGATAAAGGTAAAGGCTTTTCTAACTTGTGATTTTAAGCCTTTTCACTCTTTGTCCAGCTGGCTTTTGAGATGGAGGTCTAAGAGTGCAATGGTGTGTTTGTCCCAGCTGATACTGGAGCACACAGGCTTTGAAAAATGAGGCTTTGTTCTTTTGCCAAATACAGCAATGCCTCTGCTGTTGCTTGGAGAAAAAAAGGAACAAACACATTAGGAAGTCACCGAAAATGAAATGATGGCTCACTTCAAGGCRTTCAGTAGCACACTGCAGAGATGAATGAGCTCTGCATGGTGTGTGAGACCATGAGGAGGAGAAATCTTCAGAAAGACACTCCTTAGTTCCCACTACACTTGCAGTATGGCAGAGGAGATGACCTTCAGATATATCCCCAGCATCAACAGGCACCTGAAATGCTTTGCAGGAGAATCCTGTTGCCTACAGCTTTTGCAGGGACTGTGGGCATTGCCAGCAGAGCGTTGTGTGTGGGTGTACTTTGCCCTTGAGGAGCAGCCACCACAAAGCAAATCTGGAAGCTCTTTCCAGCAGAGGACTTGAAACAAGACTCAGCAGCGTGGCTGAGAGGCCAACACTGCCAGCTGTGGGACCACAGCAAGGTGCAGGGCCACCAAAGCCTGCAGCTTGCCAAGGGCACGGTGACTCAGCTCCTGTCTCACAGCCCAGTGCACCAGCAACAGGGAGAGAGCAGGGGGAAAATGAACTCACAGAGAAACTCAAGGGGAAAATTGGAAGGTGGAACAAGCACAGCGGTCCAGARGAATAAATTTACTGAACATACATCCTTGATTTTAATGGGGCCTCTAATAGCAGGGTAAGCCCAGCAGAGTTGGTTATCTTCCAGAAAATGCTCCCAGAAAATGTGGGACTCCRGCAAGGCTGTTCCTCTCACTTGCTTGACAATGGGAACCAAGGGACCTCCAGTACAAACACAACCAACATAAAGCCTAGCAGATGTTACCTTGAACTTGTCCTCAGCTCATGAGGGAGAACTAAGTGATATGAAACCACTGGAGCAGCCCAGGTGGGAAAGATTACTTCACTGGGGTACAAGCTCTTATTGGAGTAAGGGGAGTTGTGTGTTATAGGCTGGGATCAGTTACACTGAAAAATGCAGCATGCAGGGAAGGGGAGGTTGGGGCAGAGTGAGATTACAACTGGGATGTGTTAAAGCCCAGAAAAGAAGAGAGAGAGGCAGAAGGACAGGAAGAAATCTCAAAAAAAGTTGTGCAAGGTGTCTAATACAGGGTTTGGACAAGTTTCACACGAGCTCATCCACACGCAYCTCAGGCCAGGCCTGGCATCTCAGGTCAGTAGCTGCACAGCAATCACCCTGTGCCTGTGCTTGCAGGTGCTGGGAACAGCAAGAACAAAACGCTCTTCAGCGCTCCAATTCTCCTTCCTTATTTTGCAGAACTGCCACATGCTGGAATAGCAAATGATGTATGAAATGAAAAATCACTCCCCAACCAATGCATATAGATGATCCAGAGAGTATTTGGCCATTACTTCCTTGCAGTAATATTTATCTGCATTAATGCATCATTCAGAGGTAGCTGGAAATACCCAGAATGTGAGAGTAAGGGGATCAGAAGAGAAATCAGGGAGAGAGGCAAAGCAGCAAGGCAGGCACTTAAGGAGGCAGATATAAAGCCTTTTCCCAATAAATCACCAGCTCACTTCTGACCCAGGTTATTAGCAACCACAAGGCTATATTCTAGGTCCCAACATAATCAGTTATCTGTAAAAAGCAAATTCATTTAGTGTATTTCAGARGAGTCATTGCCATTTGGAGATGACTTGGAGACCGGTGTGAAACATGCTGGTGGCCCCAGGGCAGCCACTGGTAGGGAGGCACTTTCCTTGTGAGAGAAGCCCTCCCCAGCTGGCCTGCCATGGGGTGGTGGTCAGCCCAGCCATGAACAGGGACAGAAGCAGGGGGGTTCTCCCCATCAGAGCCCTGGGCAGAGGCATCAAGGGGAGCCAGGGGCAGCTCCAGCCCGGGTGCTCTGCTTGGTAGCTCTTTACTGCCAATGGAATGGCTTCAATTTCCATCCTCATGGGAAAGCCTTCTGAAGTTCAACAGAGAACGAAAAYCTCACCTACAGGGATGCTACATCACTCCTTCCAATTTAATAGGAAATGATTGCTGGACCAAAAATCCTACCAGGAAAAAAAATCTTATATTTTATTAAACTTGTAGGCTTTCCAGTGTAGTTGGAAGATCTCGAACAGAAACAGTTTGCTGCTCCTTCAGGTGTGCTCAGTTGTTTCTCCCAGAAAATGCCTGGGAATTTCCTCACCTTTCTGCAAGAAACACAACACTGGAGCATGCTGTCACATTACTGCGGGTACTCTAACCCAAAAAACTTCAGTGCTTGCTGAAAGTTCAGTCCTCTGCCTATCCTTGGTAGCATGCCTGAAGGCTTGGCATGGCTCTCTAGTTTGTAATCTCCATGCACAGGAGAGTCCCATAGGATGTTGGCCAAGTGTTTAGCAGACAGCATTTAGTACTGCTGATGCACTGATGTTTGCAGTAGGATTGCTTTCCTGAAACTGGGAGACAGCAGGTGCACCCAGCTGAATTGCCTCTTGCAAGCACCCCTGTCYTTGCACAAGAGTGTCACCCAGCAAGACGGACCCAAAAGAAAAAGTCAGTAGAAGAAGCAAAATATATGCACTCAGYTGAAGACACAGTTAGGCTCAGTGCTAGCAAAAAAAAAAGACTGTGGAAGAGCTCAGCACAAATTACAAGATAAGAGCAGAATACCTTGCACTTAAACAGCTAGAAACCAAGAGATTACAGAATCCTAAAGGATGCATTTGGGATGTTCCTTTTGCCTCGTCTTACTCACATTTTACTTCCCTGTCACCAGAACAAAGCAACTAGAAACTACTGATAACTACTTTTGTACTCCTAAAACTTCTTTGGCTTTGACTTAACATTTCAGCCTGGGTCCAACTTGACCTTCAGATAACATGGAGTCAAGAGGAACTCCAAATATTCATCCAAGGACAGGTTTTGGCTCTCTGCCTAGTGTCTGAAGGCACTTTGTGTTGTCTCTGAGTGATAACACATTTACATGACACCAAAATATATTTCAAGGTAACACTAAGAGATGTGATCCACAGAAATTTAGCTATGAACAGTGTTGATGGGAAGGTCTGGAAAACTAATCTATTGGAGGTATTGCCTAGCTTGATGGGATTCACTGGCTTRTAAGTCTGGGATGATACTACTGAATTTGGAGTTACCCCTCCCAYGCTGCTGTTAACCTGAGAGACCCCACTGACCTTCTGGCTACCTCGTGGTCAGTCCCACAGGCTTATGGGAATTCTTTGGGCTGAGGATTTGATATATGCTATTAGTGGACAGGAATAGCTGCCATTTAATRAAGGAATTTAACTCTAAGGGATCCTCAAGTAAAGATTCTGCCTCTATGTGTGTTTTCCAAGTCATGCACTTGGGTGACACAATTGTGTGGGATATGTATTCAAAACTCACTCACACATTTGCTCTGATAGCTCTGCAGAAGCACTGTGGACCAGGATGACTGTCCATAAGGGTGAACAGAAACCTCTAGGAGCAAATTCAAACTTTACACAWAATCACTGCTGAAAAGAATTCATGTCTGATCGGCTAAAATCACCTGGCAAGAATGACTGACTATAAAGRGGTCAAAATGTTTTAGACTAGAATAATTAGTATCTGTACAGACAGCACGGTACACAAAAAATGTGATTCATTAGCTTGAATCTTCAGCTTTAAGTCACTTATGTAATGTGGAGACTTCTAATCAAGCCTTTTTTGGAAAAAAATATCCTTGTAAAACACATGATTTTTTCTCTACCAAGATGATGAAAACCATGGAGACTACTTAGACTGTATCTCCACACCCTTTCCTCAGAAAATCCCCAAATGCTTGACACTGGGAATGTTTTACATAAACCCAAACAGAAAATAACTTTCACAGATTCCATAAGTACTAGAAATTATGAAGTCTCTTCCACATCCAAAATAGGACTTCCAAATTTCACTGGCACCCTGTGAATGGACAGCTTGTTAAAAGAAAATTGGATAATAAAGCATTAGCATACGATTCAGCCCTTGCCCTTCCAAAGGCTTCTAAAATATTCTTAGCCCAGTGTTTTCCTCGAACGTTAACAGGAGATGATTTGGACATAGTTCAGTGGAAACAGAGCACCACACATCACCAACCCTTTGACTCAGGGCGGTCTGAGCCCTGGGAGGGGGCTGAGCACTGGGGAAATCCAGAAGCGGATGCTCACCCTTCCTGCAAAGCAAAGGAGGACTCTCCTGACACCCTCCTGGCTGTCCCGGCCCGCTGGCTTGGGAGACGCTTTTGGGATGCACGGAGCCCACGCATCAGACACACCAGCTGCGTCTGGAGGCAGCACACACACACCATCTTGCTTGCTGTTTATGTTTGAAATGTCTGGGTTGCTAATGATATACTTCAGTGAGGTGTCCAATGGCCACTGAGTGACTAAAAAACATGAGTGAGAACTTATTTATTTATTCTGCCTCCTGYAGGTCTTTCTCCTAAGAGATAGCAGCACTCCAGCAGCAAGGAGAAATCAGGAATTTTGGCAGTGGGCAGGGGTCTCTTCATCTAGGAAAACAGAGCAACTTTCAATCAGGTGGAAAAAATTTAATGCACCAAGCTGGGCACCCACAGCTCTGCAGAGCTGTGCTTCTCTCATGCTCTACCCTTGTGTTGCCACTACTTTTTTGGGAAACATGCCAACTACTGGAATATGGGAGTAGGCAGGCTCCTGTGGCCACCACCAGGACTGACTGGACAGACCTTCAGTCTGCAATGGCACTGCAGCCATCCATATTGCAWCCCTCCAAAATGCCTTTCTCCACAAACACCTACCAAAGAGCACTGCGTGGCTTGGGATGGTTCCAGGCTCAGTTTGCAATTTGCTCCTCCAAGGGTTAAGGTGAAGGGTGAGTGGTGGGCTGGGCAGYSTCAYRCCYTGTTGCCCACCTCAGCACAGAGCCCAGGAGCTGTGGTGGCGACACTGGGTGTAGGTCATGAAAAGGACTTCCAGCACCTGATTTATGCTACACAATTGCTTTCATTTTGCATTTCAGTCAGCTTGGACACTGAGAAGATACGAACAAGAGATTAAGAATCACAGGCTGTCATCACCCTTCTCCTCCTGCTGCCATTGTCCTGGTGCAATACTCCTAAAAATAGCATCCAGACTGCCTTTGGGAGCAGAAGCCTCTCTGCTACTGCCATCAGACCTGTTTCTGTGCTACCTCCTACTACCATGCTTGCACAAAAATCTGCACAGAACACAGGTGGTGGAAAGAAACATTTGCTCTCAAGCAGTGCAGCAGCAGATGTCAGTGTGTGGACTGCATATTGCCCGACTCCCTTCCCCATGCATTTCTCATTTGGGTGCTGCACGCTTCTCCTCTGTGTCCAACACATCCTGCAAGGGGCTCCGAGGTGAAAAGCYCTGCACAAAACAAATTCCCAGACAGCAGTAGAAATCTAGAGTCATCATCCCGAGAGACTTTTTAATATGCACAGCAATGCTGGGCAGCACAGTGGATACGAAGTGCCAGCCAGCTCTGCCAACCTTTGTAGCAGCACAAGCGAGGGGCAGCAAACTGTGTCCCAGGGAGGGTGGGCTTCAGYCTGGAAGCCCATCTCCTGTGAACCTATGTCTTTTGGCTCCTTGACTCTGAGCGATCACTGAACAACACAGCCCCCTCTTTGTTTTGATGGTCTAAATCCCTATAAACAGAGCTCTTGTTCTTCTTTCTTTAACGTCCTTTGTGGTTTCATGAAAACGCCGGATGCTGCAGAAGCTGAGGCATGAAAGGTTCTTCTCTCTATCCTGTCCTCCCTGTCCAGCAACCACACTAAAAGGAAACCACCAAAGAAAGTGCTTGCAAATACCTGAACCGACAGCCCTGGTGATGGAAAGYTCTCCAGTTATTCATAGCCCAAGTGGAGCCCGGGCAGCAGCTGCACAAGTTTCCGAGCCGGCCCCTGCCAGCACCGATGGAGGCTGACCCGAAGGGCCCCGCCTCGCCTCGCACTTCTCTCGCTCATTGCAGCCCTTGGCGGTGTGGGGGGTCACGGCTGCAGCCACCCCAGTCATGAGACTGGGGAGGAGGAAATCATCATCTTCTCAAAAACATTTCCAAGCCAATGCTGCAAGCAGATCTGTGGGCGAGAGTTAAAGCTTTTCATTGCTGAAACCTTGGGTTCCTGTTTACCAAACATTTGTTCAGTCTTTATGCATTTGAGTGAATGAGGAAATGAACCACAAAGCTGGGCACAAATGCCAAAACCCTGCTTAAGCACATAAATCACCCTTGTGCCACTTTCTGTGCCTACTTCAGTCTTGAGAAATGAATCCTTCTCCTTAGATTTGTTGATTCTCATGAGCTCCTGACACTTCCCGGTTCACCAGCCAGCCACCGTGAGCACAGCCTCTGCTTTCCTGGAAGCTCCATCAGTGCCTCCACAAAGGCAGAGGTGAGTTGCTAGAAAGTCAAGTTCTCTCCTTCCTGCCCAGTGATCCCACTGCCGGTCCCACCCCATGCATGGTACACACTCCCTGGAGCAGTAAATGCAGAAAGACCTAAATCCTTTCCAGTCTAAAGGCTGGGCTTAATGCCATCCTGTCCCAGTCCCACACCCTCTAAATACACTCCCAGACCTCAAATTCTCTTTAACTGAAGAGGTGATCATTTCACCAAGCCAGACATGTTTGTAACACCCAATTCAATCTCCTTGCTCATCAGTTCCTCCAGCACTTTACTCTCTCCCACACCAGGAGTATCTTTTTCAGCAATCTCTTTCCAGTACCTTTGTGGTCAGAGCTGTGCAAACCCCCTGAAACCCAGAAAAAGCTCACAGATAACCCCAAAAAGGGAAGGGGCAGCAGACTGTGTAACAGAGAAGAGGGGCCACTCTGCTCATGCTGCAGCCACCCCAGGCTCAGCTGGATGCCACGTGGTGCTGCAAAGCCACAAGAGCACTGGTTCCRCTGCAGGCAGGGCAGTTATCTGAGGGCAGTGTCTGTGTTCCACCTGATACAGCTCCCCTGCGTGTCCAGATGAGAGACAGTTACAAGACAAACAATCCTGGCTGTTTTCTCAAGCTGATAGCACACAAGGGTGGAGAAAGAACACAGCTGTTCAGCTTCCAGCAGCTCTCAGCCCCAGGAGATCAGAGCCTCCCTCTCAGGGGGTYAGCAGCCTTTCAGCTGTCTGACCACTGTTCCCTCTCCTTCAAATCCCTGTTGTCTCTTTTKGTCTCTGCACAGCCTCCTTGCCTCCTGAGAGCACTGCTGATCTRTCTCCCAGACAAGCTCAAGCACCAAAGAAACCAAATACACCCACRAGATGAGGAGAAGGTGCTGCCGGGGCAAAGGATCATATCCAAGGCAGTGGTAGGCAGGGGARAGGCATCTTCCAAAGGTTATSACACCCAGCACCCACWTCACCTTCCCACCTGCCTCCCTGGSGTGTGGGGGAATCGAAATTCCTTCTGCCTGTAGCCCACCTGAGGTTTTCATCYCTGTTTGCTGTGACTGACTTACTGTCCTGCTGAAATTCAGGCTGGGTGATCCGACATGCTTTAGAAATTCAGGATGCTTTTTGATGCTCCTTGAATTTATCAGTGGACAGCCATGGTTTGGGTAGACATTTTCACTCTTATTTTCTGCTTTCTCACCCCACAGAGTACTTTGCAAGTCACACCTTCTTCTTGCTTAGGAAATGAAGATGCCCAGGCCAGCCTTGCACCATGCTGTATGCCTAGAAATACCCAGAGGTTACTCCTAGCTTTCCTTGCCATCATTTATTGCAGTCCTTGGCCCAAGCAGGACTCCTTCTCAGGCTCAGCAGAGTAAYGCTGTGGTTGCTCACACAGGAGCTCCAGGCCCCCAAGCACTTATCCACCCAGGCTGAAGCCTTTCAGGTTGGTGGTGTGGCTGTGCCCTCCCCAGTCTCCTGGAAGAGTCACTGGAAGTCACCTGATCTGCATGATCCTACACACACCACTTCTGTCATAGGTTACACAACTGAAATCCAGAAGGATTTGGTCCAAAGCATTCAGTGAACCTCCYGCCTCATGTATGGATAAATAAAAAGGATGAGATGGTTTGCTGAGGAGCACAGTTTGCAAAGTCCATGTCCTTGAGCTTTGCACACCAATGTTCCCTTCCATAACTATTTCTTACTGTTTTCTTAATCAGTCTAAAGACCAGGATTAGTTTACACAAGCCAAAGGCATGCTCTGGTCCCATGGCAGGACTTTCTGCTGTCCTGGCTATAAGGGAGCTGCTGTGGTCCAGCCAGTTTCCCAGCTGAGGGAGCCTGGAGAGGAAATCCATACCTTTGAACACACCATCTGAGAAGTTTAAGTTGTTGCAGAGATCCGCAGGCACAGAGTTTCTATTGATTTCACTGCAGGTAAGAGGACAAAATGTCTGTAGTTGTTTGTAAGCATAACTAAGTTCCCTGGTTGGGGAAGGCCTGGTGCAAGCAGGATAAAACATTCCCTGAAGAGGAGTTAGAATCTGAATTTAAGGGTAAGGTGAGCAGACAAGGRTGGAAAGTGGTGGAAGAGAACAGCTGAACAGAGACTCACTGCATACCCAGCAATGGTTTCAGCTTGCTGCCTGCCTGCTTTCTTACACTGGAAGACTAAGTGACATGCCTCAAAGGTATCAATACAGCTTTCTCAGCTTTGGCTTTCTTCTTCTTGGGCATCCCCTTCATACCTAGCTCAGATCCACAGTAACTGTATCTCCTAGTCAGGTCCCCTGAGACAGCAAAAACAGCAGAAACAAATGCAGAGACAAGTACTTACAGTGCAAAGACAGGGCACCTGTGTGTGGCACGAACYAGCTGGCCCTGCTGCATGCACATCAAGCCTGCCTTGCCTCTGCCCTGCCTCAGAGCAGCATTCTTGCACTGCAAGTATGTGCTGTGTCCTGCTGGTCACCAGAGAACAAGAATGCTTTGCCGCCATCACTAGTGAGTAACAATGATACTTTTAAATAGGGAGCACATTTAAATGCAGTAACCACCCGCAGAGAAAAGCAATGTGTGCTCCATCCTCCCTTTCCAGCRCTGGGAGAGAAAAACAGTGGCAACAATCGATGCACAGAAGTGACAACCCACTCATTGCTCACTGAGTCTGGCTTTGTGGGAAGGATCCCCCACAAGGCAGCTGGCTTGGCTCGAATCTTGATTGCTTGAGCTGGAGTGTGACCAAGGCCCAGCACAGCAGCCCAAACCATCTTCCCCAAGCATTATCACAGGCATATTCTAATATTAAAAAACAATCAGGGTTGTCCACACCCACTGCTAAGAGCTCCACTGCGCTGTGACCTGCCACTGCCGTGGGTGCAGTGCCCCCAGCTCTGGATRAGTGGCACTTGGTGGGAGCTGGTGCTACACCAGGGACTCTGCAGCTGTTCATTTCCCCAGCTGTGCCCACAGGTATAAATGTGAAAAACAAAAGCTGCACGGCTGACACAGCTAGAATGCATCTCAATTCACACTGAATATTCATTTCCCAGCTTTTGCTGAAGGCCTTTAAAAACATGAGTGCTTGCCAGAACAGTCCCTGTCTCCTGTGTTATTTCATTTTAGAAGAGCCTACCCTGTAGAAGATTAAGTAACTTCATGAAGTGTATAACTAACAGGTCACTTGGCTAAGTAGACCAAACCTGCTGTCCTATAGTCTCCTTCACATTTTCATTAAATTTACAATCAGTTAATATTATGTAATATAAATGCAGTGGCTTCAGAGGCTCTAGGCTGAATGAGAATTTTGAATTAAGAGTACAGAACAACCTGAAACTATCTTTGCAAAAAAAAAAAGCCAGAACTGGAGCACCAAGGGCTCCATCTGGCCTCATAGAGGCATGGCATTTCCATGAAATGGCTGTGAGCTGAATAAGTACTCTGGGTATTAATATTCAAAGCAGGGCAACACATATGGCTTATGAAACACCTCTTTATGTRGATTAAAGACCTGTTCTCAAGGCAGCGAGCTTCCCACTCCAACTGGAGCCACCAGGCTCCAAATTCATTACCATAGCACACTTACTGGATAAAAAAAATTGGAAGGCTTCCCTTTCTATTAGCCTCTCTCTCTAACTATTAAGATTCAGCTTCATACCTGACTTGACTAATGATGAGTCCCAAGAGAGTGAACCCAGACTTCAGAGCAGCACAATGACTTTGAGTAACCTCTGGCTCAAGGTGAGAAGCTCATGTGGGATTAGTGCAAGTCACAGACAGGTGGAAATATTAATGGCCATCATTACGGGAGCCATGGAGGGCTTTTCCTCAACCAGTGAGGACAGCAGCTYCTTTCCAAAAGCCATGTCAGCTGACCTGGCTAGTACCTTTTGCTTCGGTTTATTCATAAAGTGCATGTTATTCATAATGTGCACAGTCCCCAGGCACATCCTACTGACCAGRACAACATGCTACAATCCCACTGGCATCATTATAACTCAAATGGGATTGTAGACATTATGGACCTAATTACCCTTACAGAAAGACCTTAATGCAGGACAGTGAAACCCTCTGTGGATGGTTTCTGTGTAGTTGAATGAAAAATTTTTGTTTCTGGTCAAACTGATATTGTTCTATCTGTTTCTATCTATGTATGTATAGATACACACACACACACACACACACACACACATCTATATAGCACACACACGCACACAAGTTTGATTTGGTAACAGTGAAGCATCATCTCACACTGCAGTGCCAGACCTTCTGCCCATGTTCTGCTACTGAAAAGTGAGCACCTCCTGGACAAGAAGAGTGGATTTGTCACTGCTGCATCGCTCRATATGCAAGAAGTGACACAGAGCACCTGTTGGGTTTATTTGCCCAGCATGTGGATCCTCCCAGTTGCTAACTCTGCTAAGTGCTCCAGAAAGAAAGCACAGGTTTGGGTCTGTTCCAATGTATTGGTCCCTATTGTCAGAAAAYATTTCCCTAAGTAGGCCAAAAATGTCTCTTAAATCTTGAGCTTTAAAGGATAYATTTGTAAGTCAACAAACACATGAGCAGGGTGACCAGCTGTTCTACTTTTGGAGGTACTGTCCTAGTTCTCAGAAGCCAATCTGCACTGCACCTCCCATAGAGG